ATATATATATATATATATATATATATATGCGGAGCATTTTTCAAGCAAAAAGAGAAGGTATATGCACTTCTGTTGTACGATATCATGAAATTCAGTGGAGCCCATTTGCTTGTATATATTATTAATTTAAGAAACAAATATAGGTTCCGATCATTTTACCGATTTGAGTTTAGAATTCGAGTTTTGCTACAGTAAAAAACTCTCAGAAACAGTCACATCTAACTTTTTTGTTACAGTAAAAAGCTCTCACATAAAGTCACATCTCAACTCGAATTAAAAACTCAAATCAACGAACTAAACGAGCCCATAATTGGGGATAAAAATTTACTCGCAAAACACGAGTGCCACCGAATGAAAAATAGAAATGTAAGTTTTTGACGGAAGTATCAACGTTATAGCTTCCGATAAATTTGAAGACTAATTTTATATCATTTTAAATTGTATGGAGCAAAGTGGGACAACTGTTTTTTTGGGACTGAATTTGATAATATCTAAGGTTAACAGTGTTTAGTAGCTTGAATTAATCCAGACACCTTGAGAGTGGCTTGAATTAACAACTTTTGTTAAGTTTATTTGACCTATGTACATAGGTCATATTGGGTCTCCCAAACCAACACATAACATCAAGTTTTACTAAGCTCTATACTCGGTATGACCACAATTTCCAATTCCAAAATTTATTACTTTTTTAACCTAAAAATGTTGTTCTTTTATTATTTACACTACAAATTTTACCATTGTAGTGGCTGTGGCTCTTTAGGGAATATCCAGCCCTCAAAAAAAAAAAAAAGAAAAAAAAAAAAAGAAAACACCCACCAAAACTGAATATAGTAATTCCATCCACAACGTCACTTCCCTGGAGACTTCAAATTCTTATATAGAATGCCATACAAAATAGTAATAGTAATAATATAAATAATGAAGATTATTGATAAGTTAAATAATAATAACAATAATATAAGGTAAAGAACTACTACAAAGTTGAAAAAGTAGTAATCGAATGCAAGGCAAGACCAAAGGACCAAAAGTACCCAATGATTCCAAAGTAGGGTCGAAGAGCATCCACAATACATGGTTTAATGATCACTCTTAAAGCTACTTTAGACTCAAAATCCACCCAACTACCATTCTTTTGCACATTAAACCATACCTCACAATTTAATTTCCTGCATATATAAATTACACCCACAACTCTCTCTCTCTCTCTTCTACACTTTTTACAGTATGAGGAGAGCCAAACAAAAAACAGCCATTTCTGCTGCGAAAAACCCCACCATTCCCTGCAATGCCACCCAAAAACATAGCATCAAATTACTCAAATATGTATACATATATATATATATATATATATATATATTCATCAATCGGTCAATCATTAAACAGCCATAACATATGAATACTTGTGTAAGGTGCATACACTTCCTCCACTATTTTATCGTTCCATATCACAAAAATATCCTACAATGAGAGAACTCTTTAATAGTAAAATTATAAGAATAACCTGTGGTGGCATATGGGAAAAAAAAAAAAAAAAAAAAACACCAATGGTAATCGATAAAATTAGAATTATGTTCTTCTAACATTAAATTATATCTTTAAAAGAATTCTCCAAATCATAAAAAATAAATGTCGACATGATAAATTAGACAATTCCTACGTAATTATTACATAATATTATTCTTTTTCTTTACCCTACCCTACCCCATGACATATATATTTACATAAATATGTATATGTATTTAATTTTATAAATAAATATATATAATAGAAAAATAAAGTACCTGCTTTCCATGGCCAGAGATGGGCAGAGGTCTAATAGTGGCAGAGTCCACTTCTCCGGTAGGCAGAGGAACCGCCGGATTGCTGTTGATGAAGGGAATGGCGCCGCCCTTATCGGGCACTAATGACGGCATGACCCCCGGTGATCTGGCGGAGGGTTCCGGCGTCGGCGAAGCCGCCTCCTTCGGGCGGAATGGCCACGGATAAGGCGGGGAAGTCGACACCATGCCACCGCCGGAAGCGGGTCCCGGGGAAGCCGTTGGAGGGTGTTGTGGAGAAATGTCTGAATTTTTTGGCGCCAAAGTTGGAGAGACCTTTATGGCGAGCTTTTGAGAGCCCAATTGGCATGTCTTCATAGAACCATTGTTGAAGGTGAAGTAGAAGAATCCAGGCCGTGATGGGTGCCACTTTTTTTGGTAATTAACAAAAGTAGAATTTTGTTAGAGACAAAAAAAAAAAGGGGACAATTTTTTTGAACATTTTTTGTTTGTTTGGAAAAAAGACCCATGTTGGGAAACATTTCTTAAGACCACTTCTGGTCATTGGCAAACACAGAATTTTGTTAGAAACATAAAGAACCAAAATTCTGTTCAATATATATATATATATTTTGGTAGACTCCATGTTAACATAGCTGAAAGACCACTTTTAGTAATTAGCAAAAGTGGAAGTTTGTTACTTGTTAGAGAAAGAAGGATTAAAAATTTGCTAAACAGAAAACCGACGTTGAGAAACAGAGTTTAAGACTATTTTTAATCATATTGAGAAGAATTAGCAAAAAGAGAATTTTGTAATAGAAGAAAGACTAAAAATCTTTAGCCTTTTTTTTTTTTTTGGTTGCAAAAACCCCATGTTGAAAAACAGAGTTTAAGACCATTTTTAAGCATTGGAGAGGAAACAGACCATTTTTGTGTGTGTTTACCGTGTATATAGAGTTGGGTTTGCTGAGAAGCGTGGCCTGAGTGAAATTACAGATATTGAAGGCTCTTTCATTCTGAAAAATGTAGAGGTTGTAGTGATATTTGTGCTTGAAAACTATTAAGAAAAAAAAAAAGTCGTATTATTAGTCTGAAACAGGAAAAAAAAAAAAAAAAAAAAATCAAAGCAAAATTTGATGCAACTTGAATTTGGGTTTAGTGAGTAACTTACTAACAGAGTCACCAACATGAACAATTGGGTCCTTCCACTCTGAAACTCCATCAACAAGTATTGTTGTGGACTGAGAAGCTTGGAAGAGTAAAGAGAGAAAAAGAGAGAAGAAGACCACTATGAGAGTTGATAAGAACTTCATTTTTTTTTTTTCCTTGATTTAGGGAAGTTTCGATGAAAGCTTTTTATTATCTCTCTCTCTATTTGGTGGGCTGGGTCATGAAGAAAGGAAAAGTGGACCTTTATTTTTTATTTTTTTGAAATATGTGAGAGAGGGAAAAGAGAGAGAGAAAAAAAAAGGTAATGTTTGTGGAGAGACTGTGGAAATGTCAGGTGTGCTTGGCTTTTCATGGCAAAGAGGTTTTTGAATGGATGACAGAACAGACCCTTGGGGATTGTGTGATAATTTTGATTCCATTATTTTGCACAGTAAAAAGTGTGAATCATTTTGTTTGTGAAAAAAAAGCCCCTAAACTAATAATTTTTTTTCGAGATAAGGAGATGATTAAAAAAATAAGAAGACTGAGTACTGAGTACTGAGTACTGAGTAGATTGAGGAAGGGAACTTGGGATTTATTTTTTTATTTTTTTATTTTTAAAGCTCTCTGGTGGATTGATGATGGGAATTATAATTCTAAAATGATTAGCTCTGTGATTACCACCATGCAATCTCTCAATTCAAAGTCTCAAACTCAAAAAAAAAAAACATGTATAAAATTTTCTTTTTCTTGGGAGATGAGGAAATAGGAATCTAAAAATTAGTTTCTTTTGATGCAAAGGGTATTTCTTAATTTGAATTTAATCTGTGTTATGATGGCTCATTTTTTGATGCGTTGAGTCAAATTCTTTCTGAAGTGTATATTTCTATTTTTTATCTCAAATAAGAGGAGGGCACAATCTCTGATGAGAAAAGAAATTTATCTTTAGTAGGAAACAAATGCAAAGCATATTCTCCTTATCAGAAACTTTCAAATACCATAATTAGCTTCTGAGTAGAATTATTTTTAATTTATTTAAATTTTTTTAAGAGAAAATATTATAACGAATTATGAATTATGATTCAAATCATGATTTGAATCCTCCAATTAAACATTCCAAAAATTCGTTTAAGGGTTTCTTGAACAGTCCGTTCTACTAATAGTTTTAGTTTTTAACTGTTAAATTTAATTAAAATCGCATCATATTAAAAAATATACAGAATATATAGATTCTTATACAAATCTAATAGTTAAAAAATAAGAGACTATTGGTAATTTAGTTTTGTAAGGACTATTAGAAAAAATCCCTTAGGAAATTAGTTTTGTTTGTCAACACACATTGTCACAGGTACTAAGGACACATTTTTCTTTCAAAATCATCTGATTTTCTTGTAATATTATTCCAATTTGCAATATGACTATTTATATGGCATTTCACAACAGAGTGACTTTTTTATTATTAGTTTTGTAGTCATTTCTTCCTAATCCAAAAAAAAAAAATTAATAATATTGTTTAGCATTTATTTTCTGGAAGTTAGAAAGTTTCGTGCTTAATAAACAATTATTATAAAGGATTGGACTTCAAAGAATCAACCCAACAATTGTCTTTTTACATCCAGTCTTATTTTGATTCACTAAAAAATAACATATTGTCAGGAAAAATAATAATAATGGGATATCAGAAAATACTACATTTCTTTTTTTTTTTTTTCATAACAAAAAAGAACCCAGATGATGAATGTCAATGAAATGATCAAATGGAAATTAGGGGGAAAAATGTGTTCATCACATGATGTTAAAGAAAAGAGAAATAGAAAGATTGGAAATGAATACATGAGGCTTGTTAGGTTATTGCAAGAGACACACATAGTACTAGTTTTTTTTTTTTCATAACAAAAAAGAACCCAGATGATGAATGTCAATGAAATGATCAAATGGAAATTAGGGGGAAAAATGTGTTCATCACATGATGTTAAAGAAAAGAGAAATAGAAAACAATTCTAATTCCAAAGCACAGAATGCTTAAAAGTTTTACCCAAAAAAAAAAAAAAAAAGAATGCTTAAGAGAGAGAAGAAAAAGGAAAGAAAAATGACTTGTGCAGGAGAAGTTATATTAAAATCTCGTTTATTTTATTAATTCGAGTGTTTAATTCTAATTTTGTTATAGTTAAAAGTTCTCATAAAAAATTACATATAATTTTTTTTAATACAGTAAAAAACTCTTATATAAAATCATATCTCAACTCGAATTGAAAACTCGAATCCACAAATTAAACGCGGCTTGATTATTTTTGTTGTGCACAAATCAGAACAACTTTGATGACAGATTATTTATTCGATTGAAGTCTGAAGAGTAATATGGCATGAATAATATCTGTGTAGTTATATGCATATAACTCGTTTAAAAGAATAAATATATAAGGAATAAAATTAATTTCACTAAAAGAAATATGAAATTCAATATTCTATCAGTAGATTCTATTTTGAACGCTCAAATTTGTACTAAATTATATCAATTTTGTAGATTTTTTTTTTCTATGTGAATTTGATTTAATTTAGGGTCTAGAAACATTCATTATAATAGAATATACTCTACCGTAACAAAATCCAGTGGAAAGAAAAAGAAAAAAAAATCTCCGAAAACAACAGCTATGATTTTGCTTTAAAACATGGCATTTCATGGCTAAACAGGTGTTATCTGCAAAGGAAAGCGACAAGAAAATAGAGACTAAAGCCATGACCATAACTAAGAAACTAATAAAACAAATGGCAGATCGAGACTGCTAGGAAAGCAGAGAGCAGCGGCAAACCCTGCAACAACCTTATGATCCAAATTGAACTTTTGTGTGTGGGATGGGGACAATGGCCTTCTCCAAAAACGACAAGAGCTAAACGACATAAATAAACACATACATACATACATATATATATATATATATATATATATGTGTGTGTGATGTGGCTTCGGCGAGTGAAAGAGTGGGAGACCCCTAATTAATTTTTGTACATTACGATTACATGCAAGAAAAGGCTTAAAACTTGCATGCAGAACTAAAGTATGAAAAAAAAGAAAAAACAACATATGTTACGGCATCGTTTAAAACTAAAATAGGATTTATTTCATAAATGCACTTTAAATTTCGTATCCTAATTCAACGTGCCTCTAAATTTTAAAATAGATTCATTTCGTCTCTTTAATTATATACCCTACTAGATTCAAATACCACTTCCGTCTAAAATATTACTACTTATAATTTCATAAATGTCTCCAAACTATTAATTTTACATCAACTTACCCCCTTGAACTGTTGATTCTTATCAACTTGCCTCCTAGTATTTGAAAATATTAGGTGTAAATTGACACAAAAGCAATAACTTATGGAGCATTTATAAAATTATTTCAGTTCAAGAAGTGTTGTGAATGACTTTATCTAATTCAGGAGATGAAACGAATTCTTTTTCAAAAATTGAATGGCATGTTGAATTGAGGTACATAATTTACGAAATATTTATGAAGTTAACGGGGGTATCTATGAAATTAATTCCTTTTCATGTAAATCATGATCCTCTTGGTCATATGAATTTTGTTTCATCTGTTTGTATAAAATTGACGTTTCTTGCATTCAATTTTATCAGAATCTTCCCGGTTTTGTTGTTACCCTTATTTATGTTGCGGCCAATATGTTTGGTGGTGCCATATAATTTCATAGAGATTTTTATGTTGCTTCGTGACTTTAATTAACTTCTTATAGAGATTTTATGTTGCTTCGTGACCTTAATTGACTTCTTGCACGTGGATTTTTAGTAAGCAAGCTAACGAACAAATAACTTGTAAAAACAGGGAATTAAGAGCATCACAAGTATTGTGATTCTCTATGATTACTAATTATAATCCTTGTAAATATCATTCAGCAACACCAGGACATTCATGAGTCAGCTTTAGATTACACGTGGAGGCAATATTTAACTGGAAGATACATGTCAATTGAAAAAAAAAAAAAGGATTCGAGTTTAATACTTCAGTTATCAATATACTAATGCCGTATTTACTGATTTAAGTTTAAAATTTGAGTCTTATTACAGTAAAAAATTCTCAGAAATAGTCACATCTAACTTTTTAGCTACAGTAAAAAACTCTCACATAAAATTACACCTCAACTTAAATTAAAAACTCGAATCAACGAACTAAACGGAACCTAAAAAACCAAAGGGGTAATTAATTAGTCGATTAGCACTTATGCATATCAGCAAATTCTGTTTGTCGTTTGGAGAACGGACATGTATAAAGCTATACAAACGTTACAGTTTGTCTAGAATTGGATATATATACTTTTTCTTTCTTTATCTGTATGTGTTCTCATTTACAATGTACCATTTAGATTATTATTTTTTTTAATAAAAAAGTTCATTCAACCCCATGGGGCAATGGACCGGGTTCTCACAGGTGTCCCTGCGTGGGTCCCACCTAGTGGGGTCATCCCTATGAGGTCAGGTAAGGGTTAACAATATGTGTAGCGACACGACGATACGATTCAAAATTCGCGTGAAGTTAACGGGTTTGATTTTATTATAAATGAGTTTAGATCATAATCAGGTTGACTCGATTAACACGATTCATAAATGGGTTGGGTTAGGATTGACCTCCTAACACGAAGTTACACAAATTGACACGATTAACTATATGTGTCATCTGTAATATAATGATATGTGATATAACATGAAAGTTTATATGACATACTAAATACAAATAATGTGAATTTTAATATTTGTAGGTAAAATTAATTTATTTTTCTTAAAGGAAAAGATAAATTGACCAATAAACATGTTAAACATGTATTGACCGTGTTAAATAAGTTATTATTATATTAATTATTTATTTAATGTATTAATTTAAACGGGTTATATGGGTTGACATGATTAACACGATTAATAAATGAGTCGTATTTGAATTGATATTTTTGACACGCTTAATAAATAAGTCGTGTTTGAGTTAATATTTTATGACACGATTAATAAACAGGTTGACACAAACGAGTTGATGTTAGGCCATTTTCCCTGAATGTTTAGGCTCCCAGAGTACTAATCTAAACTTAGGAGGTAGGATAGGTTTCACTGTGTAAGTCTCACCGCATTCCTAATCCTTACTCATCTTGAGCCGATTTTCCCTTTTTATAATGGTCTTCTAATGAAAAACTTTAAGTACTTTAATGCTATGTTTAGTAGGAAAGAAAGAAAATAGGATAAAAAAAAAATATGGAAGTGATAGAAAATAACAATGATAGAAAGGAAATTGATTTTCTTTTATGTTGTTTGGTATGAGAAGATGGAAAAAAAAATGAGCTTACCTTCACTTGTTTGGTATTGGAAGTTAAATTGAGAGAAAAGAAAAAATCTTACTTATAAATTACTTTTATACCCTTAAATTTTTTGCTTGGATGTTGATGGAGAAAATGGTAGTTTAGTAACTTTACTCACTTTAATGAGTTGTCCTAATTTTTCATCCCATTTTCTGCCCACTTGTAGAAAGAAAAAAAAATAGTGGGACCCACATGTATTATTTTTCACTCCATTTTTTATTCATTTCTTTTTTCTCTCCTACCAAATAACTTACATTTTCATTTTTCCTTCTAAAATCCCCCCACCTTCTTCATTCCTTCTACTTTTCTTTCCTACTAAACATTATGTAAAGGTAAAAAAGAAAACCACATAATTGTCCTTTCTTTACCTCTCTCAATTTTTTTTTTGAAAATTAAGATTAGATAAATTTGAACTCTACATTTTAAGGTAGAGTAGTCATGTATGCATTTATCGCTCGATATCTTTACAACTGTTGTAATAATTTTCTCAATAAGAAGATAATTCTTTATAATTATGGGATATAATATAATAGAAATGGTAAGTTAAGAAAAAATATATGTATATGTTGTTAATATTAGTATCTCATGCAAGAACTTTGCTAAAAAATAATGGAATTCGACAAAGATTTAAATGATCCAAAGACTTTACAATATTGATAGATTTTTAGTTATGGGCTTTCTAGTGGTGGTAGCGTTCTAAGGTGAGGAACTTCAGTGGAAGTGATCGAAGGTGGGATTTAGAATGAAAGTTGTTTATTTGGAGCACCGTTCTTAGTGCGTCTGGTGTCTGATTGCAAATTCTTTAATGTTTTGATCTGCACGGTGGTGGGAACTTTGTGGCGGTGCTGTCTTCCGACGGGGATGGTGATGGTGGGTGAGGTTCATGCACCACTATTTAGGTGACATTTCGACATCGTCATATGCCTCTTGGCTCTGTTGCTTTCTTAGGTGGTTCTTTTACTTGTCATCTCATCACTGAAATATGTGACTACGGTGCTTCGTTTTTTTTTTTTTTTTTTTTTTTTTTTTTTTTTTTTTTTTTTTTTTTTTTTTTCCTTTGTGTCTTGATTTGTAATCACGGTGGTCTATACCCCGATTTGGTGGTATGTTTCTTTCGTTTTCTAGTGTTAGATTTGGTGGTGTGTTTGTTTTGTTTTCTTTGTGTTTTGATTTGTAGTGACGGTGGTCTATGCTACGATTTGGTGGTGTGTTTGTTTTCAGTTCGATAGTTTTGATGCTTGGCAGTGTTTTATATAATCTTTGGTGCTCTGATTTTCTTGATCTTGATTGATTGAATTTTTCCATTGAATATACAGTATTTGTTAAAAGAGTTAAGTGTGTGGTTGACCGTTGGTGTACCTGTTTAGGTGTCCTGATTTTAAAACTCGAGACACGTCTATTTTTTTTGAGCGTTTCATTTAAGTTTATCGGTGGAACCACTTATTTATTTGGACCATGGTCTTCTAGTAATTTGAAGTTGTATGAGTTAATAAAAGTATTTGTATTGGCTTGAAGTGAAATATTTTCCTATTTTTCAAAATATATTAATTATTGATGAGTTTTTAACAGTTATGTTTTCATGTCAGTTACTTATCGAATATTGAAATTAATTCTCATAATTTTTTTTTGGGTCAATTACTCAATATCTTACGTTAAAATAACAATACTCATAAATGCATAATATTAGAGTAACCATTAACACTACACCTATAAATATTTATATTTTTTACTTAAAAAGGAAAAAAAAATGAGGATGAAATAGATGCAAGTAGTGATGACAAATTGATTAATGAAGAGTGAAAAGAGGAGGGAGGGTGGACTAATGACTAGAGTGGGAAAGGCAATGATAACATAAAGGTCACGGGGCACCAAGGACATGCCGTAACGACAATATTGGCGACTACAACACTGGTGAAAGTGGCATGGGTGGAGATGATGAGCCTTTTGGTCGCCAAAAACGACAATGGTATGAGATTGTAATGATTCCCATTTTTCTTTCAATGAAGCAATGCTCTACCCCTCTCTCTTCTCTCTCTCTCTCTCTCTCTCTCTCTCTCTCTCTCTCTCTCTCTCTCTCTTCTTCTTCTTCTCTTTTCCTTTTCTTCAATCGACCGTTCTATTAAATATGATTAGTTTGAGAGGAAAAAAGTTGTCGTTCTTACGTTTTTTATGTTTTTAAATCAAAGGGTGATGGAGCCGTGAGTTTAAGTTGGGAGTTTTTAAGCCCTCGTTCATTTCACCGATTCGAGTTTTCAGTTCTAAGTTTTTATAGTAAAAAGTTCTCAGAAAATGCCACATCTAACTTTTTTTTACAGTAAAAAGCTATCAGAAAATACCACATCTCAGCTCGAATTGAAAACTCGAATCCGCGAAACGAACGAGTCCTAAATGTAAAATGTTTTCAAGTATTTTCTTTCATGTTAAATACTATCCGAATCTTTTACTATTGAAAAAAAAAAAAAACATTTCACATTCATAATAATAATTTAACAAGCCGTCATTTTCCTTTCTTTTGATAGATTAACTCTACAAGTAACTTTTAATAAATGAAAGTGTCATGTGCACCTCACATACAAATTCTATCATTTTTTAATGAATTTGTGACGCAAGAACCAAAAGTGAAACATTTATAAAGCCCACGGGCCGTTAGAGTCACACTTAAAAGCTTGGAGGGTAAAGTGGGACAATATGTATTCCTCAAAGGTCAAAATTGAAATCACATCTCTCTTAGAAAAATGAGACAAATATTCCTTAGAGTGCATAATCTGAATTTTTATCCCTCACTTTTAATTAATATCCTTATAATTAAATAACTATATTAATCAAAAAAATATTAATAAAAAATAAATATACTCCTACACTCTAAGAGTATGTTCAACTACAGGGCGTATTTACAACAGTCGAATGAAAATATAGGCAAATATACTCATTGTAATGATTTTAATTTTTTTCTATTTGTAAAATATTTATATATATATATATATATTTTGGTTATATTTCAATATAACTAGTAAGAATATGTTATAATTCAATAAATATAACTCCACAAAGCAAGAATGCAAGAAAATTAAAAAGGCCTTGTTAATTTGGCATAAGCAAGTGAATGCGCTATTATTTCTGCTTTCTGGTAAGAAAATCACACGGCAAGGTCCTCAAATAAGAAAATAGATAACCACCAATCTCGTATTGCCATAAATAAATATATTTACCATGTATCATCTTTTCCCCTTACATTAACAACTGGGGAAAGGAAGTCAAATCTCATTTAATTTATGTATAGACATAAATATAATTCTCTTTCCCTCTCATCAACAATTAGGGAAAAGAAGTTGGCACTGCTGAAATCTGCTAACTAGATAAATATATCAACAAAGAAGCTATCCTATCTCCCTTGAATAATGATGGAGTACTCTTTTCTGTTCAGTAAGGATTACCCACCATAATTCAGGTTACAGCCCCATTTCTTCTCTAAATCTAAAACCAAGATTGCTTTTACACACATGTCACATTGAAATGTCACTTCAGGATATTGTAATCCACGAATAAAAATCCTACTCTGTATGTCTAGTTTTTTCTGAGTTGCCTACCATTGGAAGGAACGAACTCTTCGGAGAGCTCGCGGCGGTCTTCGCCTCTCCTCAATAGGAATGACCTTTTCCATTAGCTGCAGCAAAAATAGAAATGGAAGTTAGCCGCGTATGAACGATTGAGCGTTCTTCGTTCCTTATCCCAACTTTTTTTCTATTCCCCGTCTGGCAACTTCGAAAATTATATAACAAAGTTGCTAAATTTCATACTTAATACTTGCTTTACTTTTCAGAGAATGTCACACCAGAACTTTCAAAGACTAACCTATTAAACAACCGAATAGTATCTAGAAATATGATCGAACTAAAAGGGAAAGAAAAACACAAGTGTTTCATCAACTTGATCATACTCAACAACTACTCCACTCAACCTCAGTAGTTGCTACCACTGTATGCTTAAAAGATATAAGATTAAACATAACCACGATTTTCCAGGAGTATATTGAATTGAACTGAAAGACTATGTTGTACAACAGTAAAAAGAATCAAGATCTTATTCGTTCAAATTTTATGGAATCACCAATCCAAGAAAATATCTTAAAACTCTATCGTAAATCCAAGAGTAAACTACAAACGTATGAACATTTGTGGAAAACAAAAGCTATCTTTTGCTATCATATTCTAAGACCCTATGAACTTTTGTGGAAAGCAAAGCTGTCTTTTGCTATTATCTCCTTGTGAACAGAGTAAAAAAAAAAAAACAACCACACATCATTTGTGCGTGCGTGCGTGTTTCTTTTTCTTTTTGGTTTTCATTTTTTTTTCCTACGTTAAATATCAAACTGTGCTAGTTTCAGCAAGGAAACCCTGCGTGGAAGCAGTATAAACACATCACACAAACATGTAGCAGATAGCCCGAGATAATCCTTATAATTGCAATAGAATATATGCTTTCATCAATGATTAGAACTAGTTACCTCAGAACTTGAAGTTCCAATTAATGGCACTTTGTCGTAATAATGATTTCTTACTACGTAAAACACAAAATAGAAATGTATAGACAGAACCTTCAAGAGAAAAATCTCTGAAGATAACCCAGTTTGTTTGATTATACATGTCTACTCCTCTTAATAATGCACATACTTTCATGCCAAACATCGTCAGTAGTATGAAGGGGTCTGAAATAAAATAACATGGTAAGCAATAGCCATTCCTCATGCCACTGTTCGGTCAAATTATCGTTAATTCCATTTGATTCTATAGTTAATCAAACAAACCAATCTAACCAATTGTTTCACGATATGAAGTCTCAACCAAACCAAGAAGTTATTTTGTCTTTCCAGTTTCCATTCTCTATTCCTATAACCATCACCATTCCATCATCATTTCAGTAATTGCAAACCAAATGCAACCTAAAGTTTGAGAAACAAGTAATTCCAAACATCTAAAAGTTATGCACTACATATATGGCTTAAAAATGCAATTAAATAAGCTTAATTTTCATTTTTATTCGTTGTATTATTCCTCTAATCGATACTTATGAATTGCAAAAGAATCTTTCTTAAAGATATCAGTTAAACAAAGTTACTTGTCAAATGAATTTGACATTGTTAATGAGTAGTGTGTAAGATTAGAAGTCTAAGTGGTACCTGCTTAAGCCTTTCCTTAGTTCTCTCAGCCTGCAAAAAAAAAAAAAAACTTCCCTAAGAACTCAAAGACGTAAAAATTCTAGGCTCACTAAAAACAAATCACGATATTATATAGATATCCAAGAAAGACATTATAATGCTACTTCGGAGTAATCCCATATAGATGAAAAATAGTTTAGAACCCAAACCACATTGTAGTTCCAAATGATATTCAGTGTTTTACTAATTCTTTCTCGTCAATCTAAATGTAATAAGAAGTTGGATCTTGTTCTGTAAATCGTGTCCTGAATATGGTCACTACATACAGTGATACAGAAACAAAATAGATAGTCTTAGTAAAGTTTAAAAATCACATTCATATATCAGTGTTCTCAAATCTACAACTTTGCTAGTTGCTGTCTCTGAGAGCTTATGTCAGAATGAATATTGAATATTGCTCTCCACGTCCACATAATGAAGAGCCTAAGACCATGAGCAGCACAACAACAGTATTGGTATTTACTGGAAAAGGGTTGTCAAAGACCAAAGAGGGCAGAATAAAAATTGAAAAAAGTAAATTAAGAAAAATCTGGCTTATATCTTATAGCACTGATCCATAAATATGCCTACACACACGAATGAGTACAGAGAAGAGAAAGATCAGACAATCAACTTAAATGCTAAAATCACAAAGCAATATGTACAGACTTATAAATATAAAATTGAAATAAGTCGACACAACCATCATGTTTCTTCATCTAATGTTGAATGACAAATTGCGAAATTGAATTGATTAACAGCAGAGGCAACATACTTAAAAGGACTTGGGCTTGAGTTCCTTAATCAATAGTGGAGACACGTTGGTGATGGTCAAGCGAAAAAGCACACAAATCAAACTGAGAAACTTTTCCCCATAGTCTAGTGTTGTCAAAAATAATTAAGTCAGTTCTAGGTAATTAAGATAATAGGATACCATAACACAATACATTTATGTGAGAATCCATAACAGAATTTCATCCTAATGATCATACAACATCCCCGAAAACAGAGCATGCGGTACCTTCTCTTTCAACAGCCGCTCGTGCTCCTCCTCTAGTCTCACCGCCAGCGATTCCAACTCGACCTGGTAAGCCTGCAATCCACAATGCCATTAGATTCAGTTAAAAGAAAAAAAAAGAAAAGGAAAATTACAAATGGGGTGTAAATCGGCCGGGTAGGGTAGGGTTGAGCTGAAAAATTGAGCCTACCCGACCAGTGCGGGTTGAGAAAATTTTAGGCCGCGACACTCTCTTAAGTCTACAAACCCGCAACCTTTCGGGTGACCTCGGGTAGGGTCGGGTTACTCGGGTTGGTGATCTCAAGGACCACATGATCACTTTTTAGTCAATTAATTTGTGCTTGTTACAGAAGAAATCATTATCCAACAGAACATGTCTTTCCTTCAAGAGGGGGTCTAAATGCAAAGTGAACAATTAAAACACTCACTTTGAAATCAAACACTTCCAATATAAATAAAGAATGTCCTAATTCAACAACTATGGCATACAAGTATTTTTTACACAAACCGTGAATCCAAAACATAAATAAAGTAACAGTTTAAATGCATAAAGTCCATAAACTTATGAAAGTAAGAATTTGAAGTGTTGAACATTATTTTACCTACTTTGAACATGTTCGGCCGGGTAGGGTTATCTCGGGTTCATATAACCCCACCCCGTGCCCCTACCTGCGTAGTGCGGGTTAGGCATAATTAAAACCGAAAATTAAATAAAAAATTAGAAATTTGTGATTTTCGAGTAGGGTCAGCTCGGCTCGGCCAGATTCGTCGGGTTCGAGGTGATTTCTTACGGCCCTATACAATATCATTACTCGAGTTTAAGTAAAAAATTATGCAACACTCAATTTTGCATTTTCAGGAATTACAGAAGTATTCCTTCAAATTGTCAGTCCCTCTAATTTCCCTACCTTCTACCAATTTTCAGTTGACTTAATATCATAAAATCACAAAAAACGTCTAAGTTCGAGTGAATTTCATCCACAAAAGAGGAATTGTTAATGATTGAAGATATAGTTTGTTTTCTCAATACAGCAATAATTGAGGAAAAACAACCACCAAATTCATATCACAATTCACCTGCTTTCTTTCCCTGGAGCGGGCAGCAGACTCCCGGTTCTTGATCATCCGCCTCTGCCGCTGCTGCGCCGCCTTATCTAGCGGCTCCAAAACGCTGCAGCGGCCCCTCTTCCCCCTCCCTCCTCCTCCTCCTCCGATCACCTCAACCCCATTCCCAAACCCCACAATCGACCCCTCCACCTTGTCCAGCGCCTGGAGAGGGGTCGGCGGCGGGATCGCATCGAACGCAAAGAGTCCGCCGCTTAGCCGCTCGGTCAACTGAGGCGGCGGCGGCAGAAAATTCTTAACGTCCTCCTCCTCCTCGTCCTCATCAGCCTCCGGTCCTCCGGTTTTCGCCAAGAGAAAGTCCTCCAGCGTCATCATCACGTCGGGAGCCTCCTCCTTGCACTCCTTATTCCGTTGTCCGCCGCCGGAGACGATCTCCCGCCACACCTCGTCCACGGTCTTCGGACCACCGCCGGCGGAGTTAGCCGCGTCGAGCAGAGTGATCTCGGAGTCGAGCAGAAGCGTCGACGACGACGAATCGGCGTCGCGGAGGAGGCCGTCGACGGACATCGCCAAGCCGAGCGACGGCGGAGCCTTGGGTTTCGAGGACGCCGACGAGGATTTCCGGGAGATATCCGAGTTCGACGACCCCATCACCTTAGACGAAGCCATGGCCGATTTGACACACACACTCTCTCTCCTTTCTCTCTTTAGTGATTGGTGAAATTGATTGATTTGGATGTTTGGTTGGAGATTGGGATCAGAAAGACATCATTGTTGTGTGAAAAAAGAGAGCAGTTAGAGAACAACATTTATTTACAAAAGCCTAGAGAAGACCGAGACTTTGCTTGAACCCCTTTTCTAGTATATTTTTTTTTCTCACAAAAAGATTTGACTAAGTAAAATTTCTGATAATATGTAAATTAAAATTATTAACTGGAACGCATGAATCTAGTATTATCAGGCCAAAGCCAAAAAAAAAAAAGAAAAAAGAAAAAAAAACATGTATGTATTTCTTTCATCAGTACTATTCTTTGCACTAGTAGCAAAATAATATTATGCTTTTCATGTATTTTGCCCATTAATATTATTCTTTTCATGTATTTGCCCATTTTTCTCTCATTTTTTTCTCATTAGTAACTATTTATAAACTATTATCTTCTTTTTCTATTTTCTTATTTTGCTTTTCTTGATATTTAAAAGTACCTGAGCACAAAATGTATTTTGACACAGGCCTCGTTCATTTCGCGGATTCGAGTTATTAATTTAAGCTGAGATGTGATATTTTCTGAGAGTTTTTCATTGTAGCAGAAAAAGTTAGATATGACATTTTTTGAGAGCTTTTTACTGTAAAAACCTAAAACTAAAAACTCAAATCGGTAAAATGAACGATGCCTCAGTGATCTATTTGAGTACTATATAGGAAGTATGGCAAAGGTAGAGCCGTAAAGGGGTTTGGAATTAAAAGATTATTGTAACGTTCTTCATCGGAAGGGAAATTAAAGTTTTTTTTCCTCTGTCATGTTCTCAAGCTGGGAAGTCACAATCTGACAAGATTGGAATGCAATTCTGTTTCACTTCGTGGATTGAGTCTTCAAAAGTCACGATTCTATTTGTGCAATAAAAACATTAGCATTATTGGCGTTCAAAGAAAACTTGGAACTTACTGATAGAGCGGGAATAAGTGTAACAAAGAATTTCTAATCATTTGTAGTTGAAGCTGGTGATGACGATAAACTCAAAATCAGAGCAATAACCAACATAATCATTTCCAGGAATTTCTAGTGAAATGTACGTTGTCAATTGTTGAAGAACGCTACAGAAACCAAGCGCAAGTTTCTGATCTCTTCTCCACGAGACAATAAGGGCTAAAGCTGCACCATCAAAAAACTCGGGGACAATAGAGACTATATATTAATTTACAAATATATATCCTCTTTCATTTTGCGGATTCAAGTTTTTAATTTGAGTTGAAATGTGACATTTTCTGAGAGCTTTTCACTGTAACAGAAAAAGTTGATGTGACATTTTCTAAGAACTTTTTACTGTAGAAACCTAAAACTGAAAACTCGAATCGGTGAAATGAACGAGACCTATAGTTTTTCAATTTTCTTCCAAACAAGATTCTCATGGTTTGAATGAATATCAAACTTGCAAAGAGAGACAAGATGCAGAAAATAGGTTGACCCACCGATATCGAAGATCTATTTTGGAAATCTAATGGCTTCTTCTTTTGTATTTTTGAGTTAGGGTATATTGAGTGATGATCTTGAGTTGAGTTTGAATTATAACTTGAGTTAAAGTTGTAACTTGAGTTTGTGTTTAGATGTGCATATTTGAATTATGATTTGAATTGAGAATCTTTTTAAATTTGTATTTGAGTGTGTCAAAACTTAAATTTTTATTTAGATAGTATTTTAATAAAAATTCAATGGTGATGAAAAATTTTAATAGGGTATATGGGTGGGGTTTTATTCATCTTTTCGTTATAAATGCATAGAAAAAAATTATCTCCATCAGAATTAAAACGAAAAGGTTATTATATTTTTAAAAATAAAAAAAATACTGTTCATTAACTTGAGTTCGAGTTTATGAACTCGAGTTGAAAGAGAAATTTAAACTTGAATTTAGTCCCAACTCGATTTGAGACTAAACTCGAGTTAAAATTCAAATTTTACAAAAGAATATGAACTTGAATAAAATTATAACTCGAATTCAATTTCGTTACAAAAAAATAACCCCTAATTTAGGCTATATTCACCGTCAACGTCGTCGAATTACACCTCGTGAATCTGCCGGAGGATGGGGCGGTGACGATTTAGAAAGCGATCAGTGGGAGAATCATGGAGGAGGCGCACCGAAAATCTTCTGGTTCAAAAACGTTGGACAGAACTCTGTGGCTGTCAAAAGGTGTTGTACGGTATGCTTGGGAAGGACGAGAGGAATTTGAGGGATACTCAAGAGGAACTTGAGTAATTAACACATTTTTAATTTAATCAATTTAAATTTTTAATTTTAATTTTATTATAGGCTTATTTAATTTATTAATTAAAATTTTTAATTTGAATTAATATATGACTTTATATGAAATTTTTTTTACTATAATAAAAAAATTAAATATAACTATTTTTTAGAGTTTTTTATTATAATAAAATTTAAATTTTAAACTTAAATCGGTGAAATGAACGAGACCAAAAGTTCTCACAAAAAATTACATCTAACTTTTTCTATTACAGTAAAAAACTCTCACATAAAATCATATTTCAAATCAAATTGAAAATTCAAACCAACTAACTGAGGCATCGTTTATTTTACCAATTTGAGTTTTATTACAGTAAAAAACTCTTAAAAACAGTAACATTTAACTTTTTTATTACAGTAAAAAATTTTAATATAAAATTATATCTCAACTTAAATTAACAAATTAAACGAACTTAGGTTCCGTTCACTTCGCTGATTCGAGTTTAGAATTTGACTTTTTTTATAGTAAAAAGTTCTCATAAACAATCACATTTAACTTTTTTATTATAATAAAAAATTTTCATATAAAATCATATCTAAATTCAAATCAACGAAGTAAACGATCTTAAATTAAGCCAATTTGTGTGCCTTGTTGTCATATGCCTAGGACCTCGTGGCATATAGCGTTGGAACGCGTCACGACTCGCCACGTACGACATTCCTCGATCAGGAATCCATCTTTTAGTGCTCATGGCCACGTGGAAGCATGTGACCGGGAGACGAAGTCCAGCACCAACAGGTCTCAATCATTACATTCTTCTTCTTCGTCCTCCTCCTCGTCCAACTCCTCCCCTTCTTCCATTTTGAATAATTACTTCGCAAGATACTCTTTTTTTTTTTTTTTTTTGAGAGAAGCACATTAATTTTCATTCCTTAAAAGGGAGCTAACTATTAGATAATAATAATTTAGCGAGTTGCTCAAGTATTTATAAATCTCGTTCAGTTTATAAATTTAAATTTTTAATTTAAGTTGATATATAATTTTATGTGAAAATTTTTTATTATAATAAAAAAAATTAAATTTAATTTTTTATAAAAATTTTTAATTATAATAAAATTAGAATTAAAAATTTAAATTAATAAAATGAATGATACTTACATTATGCACAAAGAATATTAACGTGCACAAGGCAAAACCAAATCCTTTATTCCCTTATTTCCTTGTCTCATGTGGTAGTTTCCTTTATTCCCATTTTTCCTTGATTTGAGATGGAACAAGATGCTTGCTGGGTTTCCCTTTGCAAGAGTCAAACATCTGACGTCATACAGATAATAGTTGTTTAATGTTTTTTCTTTTCTAAATTATTAGTTGAAACCGTGTACGTACACGAGATTTTGTAACTAAAAATAAATAATATATTTACTAAGATTTCATTTAAAAGAATAAAAAATATATATAATATGACAAAGAAAGATAAGAATAAAAAGAAAAAGAGGAATACAAAAAAAATTGTATAATAAAGCAAAAAGATAAGAATGGGGGAAAAGTTAAAAAAAAAAAAGGAAAGAAGCAAAAAGTAACAAAAAAAAAAAACAAAAACTTTCGTACGGCTGTGTGAGAAATGCCGTGAAACGATCCATTCTTCCTTAGGAGGAAGATATAGGATTATTGGAAGGGTTTTTTTTTTTTTGGAGTCACAATAATATATCAGGACAATTTTTTAGTTTTATGGGTGTATTCTCTTTTTGTGCGTCTCTATATACACAC